CTGATGATACCACACAACTGGGTTTCTCAACTCTTTGAGAGAGTCCACACAGCTAATATTGTTAATTTGCTATATCAATAATATATAAATTCATGGCTTAAGAATCACCATAATATTCTTAAAGGTCTGATATATTAAATGATTTCTTTTTTTGGGGGGGGTCATTTAAGCAAATTTCTGAATTTTTTTTTTATTTTGATCTTTTTCAACAAAAGATATCTGAAACTAAAGACCTTAAGATTGGCTCAGAGATCCACTGAAAATTAAAAAATTTTAAAATGAAAACAGGGTCATTTACTTAATTTGTTTTAAATTATAAACAAAGGCCCCATATGTACATTGTGTTGACACTTTGTAGCTGCCAGCTGCCAAGGTGCCCTTACAATATCGTTACATTTTATAACACTTAATTTTTTTTTTTTGGGTGTGATTTTTGGGATTTTATAACAAGTATGTTTTTAACATTAATATGTCGAAGTGCAAAACACAGAAAAATGTTCATAACAAATTTTTGTACAGACAATAACAAATTTTACCACAGACAAGATAACTGGCTACAATTTTACATGTAGATTTGAAAAATTCAAGAAAAAACATGGGGTTATGGTGATTTAACAAGACATGCTTAAATAGTCTATGGGGAAAATTCACTACTATTCACATGATAACATGAAATGAGTTTATTTACAATTTTTAAGAGCAAAAATGATTTTTCTATGTAAATTGATACATTACATTTACATCAGTAAATGTAAATTTTGTGGTTTCATAAACATTTACAAATAATTTTCAAAATCAATATTCAAATTATTTTTTTTTGAAAATTTTGAAAAAAAAAAAAAAAAAAATCATAGTTCGATCATTTTTGCCCTTGGATAATATGAAACATTGTGAAGAAATCTACATATACATTAAACCTAACAACAAAATTAATAATTATAATAATAATAACCCATCCACCATCACTTTCAATCTTAGATAGGAATAAATAGCATTATATACACATAAATGGTACATACAAAACGCGTATTCTAATTACACAGTAGTCTCCTTCTTCACATTTTAAATACAAATCTTTTTAAAGTGGCTGTGCCTGTTGATTTTATATTGAAATATCATCTAGACACCTGATATCACTTTTCATTATGAAATAATTTTTTCATTTCATCTAGACACCTCTGATATCACTTTTCATTATGAAATAATTTTTCATATCATCTAGACACCCCTGATATCACTTTTCATTATGAAATAATTTTTCATATCATCTAGACACCCCTGATATCACTTTTCATTATGAAATAATTTTTTCATTTCATCTAGACACCTCTGATATCACTTTTCATTATGAAATAATTTTTCATATCATCTAGACACCCCTGATATCACTTTTCATTATAAAATACTTCTTCATTTATAATTGATATACTTCCTCATATGAAAAGTTCATTTGCTGCTACCAATGTATTGCCAAACTCTTATTTTGGATTTTGAGTTTCATTTTGTGGTTCAGATTGTCCATACTTGGATTTTTTATTTGCAATAAAAGCTAGGTCTGTTTTGAGATTTTTTGAAGATCTCCCATTTTTAAAAAGGATTATAAGTCTTTAAATTGTATCAAAAAAAGACTAACCACTTAGGAAAACTTAAACTAGTCTGCACAGCCACTTTAACAAATTTCAAATCACTTAGAATAGGAACCCATCCCACCAAAATATATCATTAATGCCTATCTTATAAGCTGATATTCATTACTTTTGGCTGGATAAGTTGCTATTCGAAACGATTAGAATTATTATCTCTACTTACTCTATGAAGCATGTTTTAACATAAGACAATATCAATATAATGGCGCAAAAATATCAGGTTTAGTCTGCAAATTTAGCAGTGTTAGGATGAAAGGCGAGAATATCTTTAAATATTCTTTAGAAGATAGAAATCTAATTCAAAAATACACTATAACCTTAAAATTTGCTGCACACACAAGCATCAGCTGAGGCAGAATTCTTTGGACCACTTTTTAAGACCATAGCTTCCAGGTGCAAGTAAATTTATGTAAAAATTTAAGCCATCACCTAAGAGAAAAGTACGCAAATGAATTAAGTCTCAGTCAATGATTTGAGTGTAGGCCTAAGCCTGGCTTAAAGTTGAAAATTTCACTAACAAGGACTTATCTTAGCAAAATGAATATAGACATATTTTTTTTGAGCAAATTAGTTTACAAAAACAAGGTAAAAATGGTGAAGCTTGCGTAAAATAATAGGTTTTCAACAAGTAGTACAACAAGTAGTACAAATTTTGAATAAAATAATTTGAAGGGATGTTATCTATTGACTCTGTATTGAAACACTTTTCAAAAACTAAATTCAAAATATTTCATTGGGTTTTCAGAAATCAGCCCATAAAAATTTAGAATAAAAAGGGAAAAACTCAAACCACTTTTAAAAATAATGTAAACTTCAAAAAAAACTTCAATAATAATTTTTCTTCACCAAACAGTAAATTCCTTAAAAAGAGTTATCCCCCTTAGAACATAAAATTGTATTTCTGCACTGTTTTCGAGGTTAACAATAAGATTAATTAATAAATAAAACGTATGAATTAGGTTTACTTTTTGATAATTTGATGGCTTGATGATGTGCAATGGAGAAATGAATTGCCCTAAGAGTTATGCAAATTTTGTTTCATAAATTGCTCAAGATTTTGGGATTAACAGGATTCGAGACATTTTTTTGGGTGAAAATTTTTTTTCTCAATTTAAAATTTCACATTTCACCATAATCTTAAGATTTAAATTTCTTGAAAACTGCTCAAAAAAATTTCCTAAAGCAAAATAACCTATGAAGTTTACAGAATTTGCTGTTCGGTATTTTCATTTCAGCATTTTATGAAACAAACACAGAAAATAGAATAAGCTGCTGCCATTTAGTGATGATGCAAAATTTTTCTTAAATATGAAATAAAGATTATCCTATGGTGCGTTTCATATTGACAATGCATAGAGTCAAATAAAGCCCCTCAATTTTACTAAACATTCATACAAACTCTAAGTAATTTCGTTCTAATTGACATTGGATGCCAGAGATTAAAATATATTACAAGCAAATTTAAGCCCTAAGAAGTCATCAGTTTCAGACAGCCATTTTCAATGATTCTGATTGGTTTTCGTACATGAATCTGGGACAGTTTAAGGTTCTATTTGGACCATTCTGAGTTCCCATAATCCCGGGAATACCCATAATACCTGTCATCCCAAAAACCTGCAAGAAAACCGCCTTTGAATTTTAACGTTTGTTTAAAATTTAAAATATTTTTTAACCACTTAAAAGTGGTTTTGCTAACAAAACGCACAAAGCAGGCTTGAGAGAACTATCAATCTTTTGGCTGTTGTATCCATGGTGACACAGCATAATTTTGATCTGTTTTTGTGCTTCTCATGTTGGTGCACACTCTTCAAAGGCACAAAATGCCTGTCTGTTTTTGGTACTGGCGAAATATTTGCTGCTGAATACAGGGCTGTCCTGCTGTAAATACAATATAAATGCAAATGCTGACTAAAACTGAGGACTTGATACTAACAGACACTAGGTGTCATAGAACATTACTTCAATATAAACACCTATTTTGAAATTACAATTTCTATTTTTTTTACTTTCATTTTTGCAATGGCCAATAAATTAATTGCATCAATAAAACAAATTGTTATTTTACAAAAATAATTACACAGCATATTTTATTGCACCAAAAAGTGCATTTTCACCAACCAAATCAAAAAAAGAAGATTTGGTCAGCTCACAATAAATGAATCAATCCGTTTTTAGCTCTGGCTGGAGCGCACCGCTGCTATGCTGCCATAAGGTGCTGCGAAAGTAGTCTTCTAAATCTAGACTAATAAAAAGGCTGAAATTCGTTTTAATCAGGGACAAAAGTTACTTTACGTAAATGTGACACCATCATTTTTTTGACAATGTTTAACTTTTCTGTCTCTTTCTTTGTCTGTATTCCGTTACCATTGCCGCCATTTTAATTCTCAAACTAAGAATCTAGGATTCCTATCATCCGTCACGATCTCTAAAAGACCGCCAAAAGACTAGAACATAATCTTGCAAACTAAAATCTGGCACACATTCGAAGAAATCTGTCACAAATTTACAATGCTTAAAGCGTATCATACAATGAACAATGCCACAGTCAACGATCACTTCACATTTTTTGAAAGTCAAGTAGCTACGGCTCGACTTTTCAACATGTGTGTTTTTTTAAAAAGCAACGCAACACACAACCTTGTCCAAGGTTTAATAATATATACATTTTATATTTTATAGTTCTATGAGTACATATCGTCTAAGTAAGCCATTTGTAATATAGTGAAATACAACCGATAATGTAATACTTCATCAAAAACTTGACAAAATGTTCCAGAAAAATTATATACAAACTATGTTCTGTTAGCGTCAAAGTGTCAATTTTTTTTTAACAATATGGAGACTCTGTTTATATCAGTCAATTTACAAATGATCTGATGTCAACTGATGTCAACTGATGTCAACTTATGTGAACCGCGATCCTCCTGAACAAGCTGTACTAAAACTTGGCATCTGTTGTGAAGCATAGTTTTTGATGTGCTGCAAACTAAGCAGACTGTTAGCTACAAAACTATCGCGATTTGTCATGGGTACGTTTAAGTTGCGGTCTGTGGCGTCGTTTTTCCGGAAACCAATCGGATCATATGGAAAATATCTTGGAGTAGTCATCGATGATATATGGGGCAGTGGAGAGCTGAGACTGTTGGCACCTATACTAGCTCCGTAAGGATAGGATGCAGTAGATGTACTACTAGGTGGCAGTTGGGGCAGCGGCATAAATGCAGAAGTGAATCCTTTACTACATGCCGAGATATCCTGGAATTTATCAGGAAGCGGTAGACGTCCAAAATCTTTCTCCAAAGGATCATATGGCTCTTGCTTGATGGGTCGTAACATAGGCTTCTTCGAATTATCTTGAGAGTGCTTTGCCATATGACGCACTAGATATGTCTCTTGAGTATATGATTTACCGCAGATGTGACATATGGAAGTTTTCAGATGTTTGGTTTCCGAGTGTTTCGGGATATGTTCGCGTAGACTCTGCTCATCCGAATAACATTTATAACATGAGTTACAGCGATATGGTTTGTCCGTCATGTGAGAACGCGAGTGAGATTGAAGATTGGAGAGCTGGGAAAATGCCTTCCCGCATCCTGGATGCATACATTTATACGGCTTCTCTCCCGTATGGGTACGAATATGCTGCTGCAGATGTGACAACTGGGTGAATTTTCTTTCGCATATCTCACATTTATAGGGCTTGATACCCGAATGAATGCGGCCATGTTGAGATAAATACGATGAATTAGCGAAACACTTTGAGCAGGTTGGACATTTGTAAGGCTTGGGATCTTGTTTATGGATCTGCTGTGAATGAATCAACATGTCCGACTTGGTGTTAAAGATCTGAAATAGAAAGTGAATTGGAAAATTAGAATTATTTGATAAAAGTTTTGTTTTCAGACAATTCTGACACCATCATTGTATTTGATTGGTTGGTATACTGAACACAATATAAAAAAGAATTTGATCAGATCACGATTGACCATTCTATGACCCACTCAAAAATCTTAATTCCTTCATATTATTTATGCATTCATTCATTTATTCTAATAAATTTCATTAATTCAATTTATTCATTCATTTATTTTAATAATCCATTTGATCCATTTATTCATTCATTTTAATCATTATAATAAATTTCATTCATTCATCCCTCACTCACACACTCCAGTTATATAACAAGATGAATGTGAATACGCTAGAGATAGAAAGATGAGTCAGCATCCAATGAAACAATAGTATTAATATTTAAAGTATTTAAATGACAGATCACTGATCTTACACTATTTGTACTTTCACTTTCTTTAGTCTGAAACTCCTTACTCTACAAGAACCAATCTTGCCTTTAGTTAAGTATTCTACAGTGGGATTAAAGCTAATTTTGAATAGGTTTAAAGGGACAGATTTTGAGGGTTGATTTTAGTCATAAATATACGTAAATAGTCTTCAGAAGAACTAGAAATGTATGAAAATCGCATAATTCCATTAAAAATACTTCAAACTAGGAATTTTACTCACTATTTCTATTAATGTCCTTTCTATATATAACAGAGTATTTTAAATTGACGAGTCATCATTTTAACATTCAAACGCAGATAACTCTGGACACACATGGATTTGAAGGCTTAAATTTTGACACTCTTACTGATTGGCTCAGCTAAAAAATTCCCGTTTCTGAGACCAAAGTATGGCTCATAAAAAAACATGGTACATCTGTCCCTTTAAGGATTCTAGACTTGGTACCACTATATAATCAGTGAAATATTAGCTTTCATTTAATTTTCATTTTCTAGGCACCTTTAACCTCCACATTTCTTGTGTCAAGTCCAAAAACCACAATGAATTTTAGTGCTTACACATTCCTTTATAACACCTGCTATTACTCTGTGACTAGGCTTGTCAACTCAGTGTCCCTTTGGGAAAGTCCACATAGGTTACATTAATTTTTCTGGAATATTCAAAACAGGGTCAACTATTTTCTCGGTCTCTTTCCCCAAAATCTTCTCGAGTCTCCCAAAATTTCTGCCAGGAAAGGTCACTTCACTCTTAATTCTTTGGTCAAGCTTGAACCCTGATGCAGCTGGAGGTTGTTTCTGACTATGACATCTGATATAATCTGATTTGATATAACCCATTAATTTCAAATCAATAACAAATTAAATTTATCAGATGATTTTTTTCTGATTTAATGAAGTTTAAAATGTCATAGAGAACTAGTAGGTGGAAATAAAGAAATCAGTTAGTAACGTCAAAAATGATGTCATCTTACCGCTAATGGTACTAAAAATGGTGGGTGTAGTACGTGCACAAGTTAATTACATATGGGAATACATGAGTTCAGGTGCTTAGATTCCTGGAGGTTGAAGGCTTGTCTAATGAGAGAGCATCTTGCAGAACATGATTTTAATAAAAATGTTTGACACAGTTTCTGTTTTATTTACCAACGGAAGTTATATTTTTCTGATATCTGATTGTTATCTGACAAATTCTGACCAATGTGTACTCTATCCTGAAATCTGACAATTTTTCACTGTACATTTAAAATCTGACAAATTAAGTGTACCTACTCTTGAAAAATCACAAATTTGAGCATAGGCTTACTTTATCTTGAAATCTGACATATCTAAGTCATGTACTGTATCTAGAATTCTGACAAATTTGTGTGTACTTAATATTGAAATCTGACAAATTCATCTGTACTCTATCTTGAAATCTGACAAATTCATCTGTACTCTATCTTGAAATCTGACAAATTTATGTGTACTTCATCTTGAAATCTGACAAATTTGAGTGTAATTTAAGTTGAAATCTAACAAATTTGACTGTAGGCCAAACTTAATCTTGAAATCTTAGAATTCTTTATGATGCAAAGTGACAAATTTGGAGTGCACTTTATCTTGAAATCTGACAATCTTGTTTATATTTCTTGATATCTGACACATTTCTATGTACTTTATCTGGAAATCTGACAAATTTCTGAAGTGCCTTATGAATACACCTTTGAAATCCAAATAAAACATATCATATGTATATCTTAATATTACTAACTTTAACAAATCAAATTTATCATAAAATCTTTAGATCAATGAATTCAATTTTCAGAAATTTCCAGAAATTGTTTCAATTTCAGTATTTTTGGGAGGGAAATTTTGTTGATCAATGTAATTAATGAAAAGTGATCAAGGGAAATTACATCATTCCAATAAGCAATCTGACATTTCTCATATTTACTCTCATCCAAAAAACCTTAAATACTTTCCAATCAAGTAAATTACTGCTTTGAAATTTTCATGGGTATTTAGTCAATATTTTCTAATATTCTTTGAATGTCATTCACAGTTCACAAAATGTCAAATGCATCCAATTTGCAGCAACAAGAAACTGAATCTAATCATATAGTTGATTTCAATTCCTGGTTTTTTTCTTAAGGAGAGATCTGAGTTTGAAATCTTTACTGCAGTGGATTTGAATAGAAGATTATGATTTATAAAACGAAAGTAAAGATATTGGGAATTTTTTATAAAAATAGCCAATTGACATGGACATATCTTCACCTTATTGTACTAGTGTATGCTGAATGCAATGAGGGACATTTTTTAGATATCATTTTCCTGGGATAATAGAGATATTGTATATGCTGTATGCATAAGGGAAATTTTTTGAGATATTTTCTTACTGGGCTTAAAGGTCAACATAACCTTGAAATGTACTTACATATTAGGTTTTACTCCCCAATTTCCAGTGCTATATTGAGTTATTGAAGGCAGTGTGCAATGAGGGAATTTTTTGAAATGCCATCTGACTGGGCTTAAGAGTCAACATAACCTTGACATGTAATCATATTTTGTGTTTTGTGTTTAACCTTATACTATTCAGCATTATATTGAGCTCATGAAGGCAGGCAGTGTGCAATGAGGGACACTTCTCAGCAGAGAAAACTTATCTTCCTCTTTCAGTGAGAGTTTTGAAAGACATTTATCAGCAAATGAAAACTTTTTGTCACAGAAATAGAGAAGATCCTATCTGATTGGATAGTATGCAATTTGAAGGTAGATAATTAAACCAATCAGATTTCAGATAAGAAAATGTGACCCTGACATTTCGAGAAACTGTTTACGAGAAGTAACCTGATGCAGAATATCGTGCATTAAGATAATCGCTGCAGTACGTCAAGTTACAGAATTGCGTGAACTCCATTTCAATGCGATAAATTTCAATTACTCCTCTCCAACATTTCCCCAGCTCAGATCAATACATGTAATTAGTGAACGCGATAAAAGGTTGATACACTGATACCTTTAATCCTAAAAATGTGCAGATATTTAAGCCGCGTTGCAGATCGTGTTCTATCTAGAACACATACAAATTATACTATTTTGTTTCTTTCTTCAGGCTCTTCTAACACTTGTCATTTCATTTTTTTGGAGGAAAATAAAAGACACTTTTGTTCTGTGAAATTCACTTGCAATTAGATCTGATGTTTCTGTTTTAAATGAAATACAAAGCCTTATAATTAAATTAACTTCAATTCGCCCAAAAGGTATGGCCATATCATTTATTTCAAGAAGAAGAAAGGTCAAAGGTTGAGTTTTTTTTTAAGATCCAGGATAAAAGAATTACAATTCAGTTCTTACAATTTATAAACTGAAAATTTAGAGAGCTGTGTTCCTTTAAAATTACCAACTATATACTTCAAGGTAATTGTAAAATAACTACTTATTTACCTGAGTAATGTTATAGGATTATTGTAAAACTATAAATATAATCTGAAACATTAGATGATTACTTCACTTGAGATTAATTACTTAACTATTTAATATAACCACTGATATTTTCTAAAGTAATTGTTCATGGTAATTGTAAAATCAAACTATAAACTTCACTATTACTGATATCACTGAGAGTAATTATTCATGATATTTGTAAAAGGTAATTGTGAAAACTAAAAAATTAAACTAAAACTTTAGAGCTCTATATCTCTTTATAATGAGATATTGATCAATAAAACTAATCACTGATATTTTTCTAGAGTAATTGTTAGAAGGGTAATTGTAAATGTTAAAATATAGAGGACTATTGAAATAAGTTACTTATTATTATATGCATCTAATATTTTTGAGTTAATTTTTTCAAGGTAAAGGTAAAAGTAATAAAATAATCAATATTTAGAGTAATTCAATATAAACTGAATCTTCCAACACAATATACTTCTAACACTAGGAGCTGATATTTTTCAGGAGTAATTTTTTCTGATAATTGAAAAAGTAATTGTAAAAAAAGTATGGTGAAAACTATCAATTTTAGAGTGATTGTAAACCAAAACTTTAAACAACTATATTGCTATAAAATAAATTACTATATGCACTAATAATTTTTGAGAGTAATTATTTAAGGTAATTGTAAAACTGTACATATAAACTGAAATTTACAACACAATATCACTAATATATGTACTGATATTTCAGGGTTATTGTAAAATGTATTGTTCAACTTCATGAGTCTATATACATTTAAAATTACTAATTAATATATGTACTGATCTTTTTTAGAGTAATTTTTTCAGGTAATTGTAAAATGTAAGGTGAAATGTTAATCACATGTCTGTAGGTCCTTTCCCTGTTCACGTTGTTTTCAACAGGAAATGTAACTGCATGTCACAGCTGAAGTTTAACAAAGAAAAAATTCTAAAAATTTTTTAAACATGTTGATATTTTTCTTTGAACAAGAGTTCAAGCATCTACATGTAATTTAAAGGGGGCATTCGAGATTTAAATTTGTAACAA